GCTGCGGCTCCGCCACCCTCTGCGTGCTTGCAAGCATTTCAGCCCGTGTTATTTATGAGCGCCGTGAGAAGCCTCGTCGTCCTTCGGCGCGCTGGGACTCCTCCTTGGGAGACGCGATGTGCTGTAACTTGATTTTAACGTGTTTTATTTATTAGCTGTCGTGGGTTGTTTTGTTTTTTTTCTTGTTTGTTTGTTTTCTAAAAAAAAAAAGAAAAATAAGGCTCGTTTGCAAGACATTTCTGAATGTAGACCGTATCTGAAAAGGAAAGGGTCAAAAAAAAAAAAAAAAAGACAAATACATTACATATTCTCTCTAAAGAAACTAGGAAGTTCTGGGTAATTTGACCATGTGCAATTTGACAAGAGTTTGTCCTTTTTTTTTTTTTTTTCCTCTACTTTTACCCCTACTCATTGAATTGCATGGGAAAAGGCGGGGTTTCGGATGCTGGCTGAAGCCCTCCCTGTGAACGGAAACGCTTCTCTCTAATGAAAATAACAGTAAGAATCTGGGTGTAAAGTGGCTTTCTTATAAAATATATGTGTGGTGGAAGATGACTACAACTTTACACACATCTGGGTACTCAAAAATAATGATCGTTGCTCCAGGGTTAAAAGTAAGTCAGTCTGATGTGTGAGTTGAGGGGAATCTGACCAATTTCTCTTGCGGTATGTGACTTGCACTTGGATCCAAACCGTCTGTGTTGTGTTTACTCATTCTAGGCAAGAAGACAGGAGCTGAGACGTGTTTACAGACACCCCTAGGCATCCGAGCCCAGGGCTTCATCTGCATGGTCAGTCTGTGAAGGGTCTGGCTTCTTGACCTCGGCTAAATTTTCATGCAAGTTTTCAGATGTCTTGCATTGAACTAGCCCCTAGCTTAGTTATCTACATCTTAGTGTGCAAACGGATTGTGTTGATCACAGCTTTCATAAGCTCCAAGTGGCTCTGTAGCCGAGATAATGATCATCAGCTGGTGTTGCGCGCTGTCAGAAGTTGAGATGTGTGCGATGTTGCCTCTAAAAATGCCGAGGAAGCTACGAAGCTGGAAAGCCAAGGGCTAGTGGCACCGCCGGCATCTCCTCCTGCGCCTCTCCGAAGCCAGCGGGGCTCTCGCTGTGGCTACAGTGGGAGTCCCGGGGAGCTTGCAGGAGCGCACGAGGCCAAGGGGAGCCCTGGGGAGCTTGGAGGAGCGCACGAGGCCAAGGGGAGCCCCGGGAGCTCGCAGGAGCGCGCGAGGCCGGCGGCCCTTGCTAGGACGGGGCCCTCCGTGACGGGCTCACGCAGCAGTAGCTCACTGTCTCCGTTGCATGTTAGATGCAGAACAGCGCGGCCTGTTATCGCTGGTTCAAGGTAAAAAGTTCCAGCTGGTGGGGGCTATTTATTTTAACTGATGTGGTGAAGGAAAACTGCCTTTGGGCCCTTTACAAGTTGTGTGAATGTAAACAAGGTCTTTGAAAGCTCTGCGTCCAGGCCTTTTTTCAGTTTGGGTAACCAAGGTGTAATTTGACTGTAAAATCCTGTGCTTGGTTCCAACCCTCTAAGTGCTTAAAAGTGACACTTGAAGGAAGATCTTCAAATCAGTTACTGCTCTTCACTGTGCTGTTCTGATTTCCTCTGTACCCTGAAGCGAAGCTTGGTTTTGCAGGAGCTAAATGGAGGTCTCTGACTCTGCAGTCCTCTTGGTCCCCTGCCATCCCTCTGCAGTCCATGCGGAGATGACCCTGGAGAAGGTTGTGTGAGGAGCTCGGGGTGGGAGCCTGGCTGTTACCTGGAGGCTGATGGAAGTAGAAGGTGCCCGGCATCTTCTAGGATTAAGATTCACTATCTTGGCAATCGTAGTAGCTGATTTCCCTGAGTCTGTGCATCTGCTGGTGTCGTTCTGCTAATGCCTGGGTATTAGAGCTGCAAGGGGATTCCCTAATGAGCTAGGTAAAGACTCGCAAAATAGACTGTGATTTGTCTCCTCTCTTTAGAGTTGTTAATTACAGTTTACTGAGCAACTAATCCACCTTTTCAGATACACAGACTGATAACTCACCTACTAAAATGCGTTTTAGCCTACTGAAGAATAAATGTAACTGTTAAGAAATAATTTCTATGCGATTGGAGACACGCATATGCCTCAAGAAGAGGTAGTTATTCCTGTCCTGTGCGGACTAAATCCCAAACCTACTGAATGCCACCAAAGTGTATGGATCTGGTCTAAAGCTGAAATGTTAGTATTTTTTTTTTTCTGAAAGTTTGTACTTTGAAAACAAAAGATGACTGTTTTAGGGTGATGTCGCTGACATTAAGGTTTGTAAAGAAATTTTGGAATGAATGTTGTTGTATTTTCTCGTTCACCAGGTCAAGGTCAGTGTCCACTTTCATGTTACGTTTCTTATTTCAAGATGGTGTTCAGGATGTGCTCCAAAACCTCTCGGAGTGGACTCGTTCCCAAACTTCTGCCTGTCAACGTTGCCCGCTGTGTTGTTTTTCTGAAGCACTGGCTTTGGTCAGCCAGTTAGGCCCAATCTCCCTCTTGCCCCTTGGGACTCTCTTGTGAGCTGCACGGGAGCAATCAGGCCACGGCTGCGGCCTTGCGCTGTGTCAGTGTAAATCAGGCTGAACCACCCCAGATGGTCAATCCATAACTTTATTGTGCTCTAAATTCACTGTTTTCCCCTACTGGTAGCAACTCTAGACCAAGAAATTGCTGGGTTATGTCACATGCTGTTATTCCTGTTTTCTTCATCTCGTCCCTCTCTTACTGTGTAGCCGTCGTTGGAGCTCCTCGGTTAAGCACCGTCACTGCCAGGCAAGCAGCAGCTGTGGAAGCAGGTCCTGCAGGTCTTCCTCCATCCTAGTGGAGCTCCGTGAGAAAAGGAAACACGTTGCCCTCCACCTTACGGAGACGGGGCAAAAGAGGTTTATGGCTTTAATGTAACGGAGTAAAAGCGCCGGTAAAGCAAACACAGGTATAGTTAGCAAAAGTATGAACGGTCACTTAATATAGAGGTCAGAATCACACGTCTTAAAGTGAAAAAGTGATTGAGGGGCAGAATTCAGAAAGAAAGTTCAAGCTGTGGCATCCATTTTGTACCATGATAATTTTGATTTGGGGGGCAAAGGTGGGGAGATCAAGTGGATGTTATCTTTGTGACATCCTGGAGTATTTCCTCTTTTTTAAGCTTCATGATATGCAAATGCCAGCTTCTGAAATATAGCTGCGGTGATGTACCAAATGTTTTCTAGCATACCCTATTGTGAGCAGGAATATCGGTGTCGTCAAAAAAAAAAAGTGTGTAAATATGACTCATAAATAATTTGAGAGATGTGATTTATTTTTCATATTTTTCAAAATGCATTCCATTTCAAATAAAGAGGTATCTATTGAAAGAAATCTCAGTTATGCTGAAAAATGGTTCATTTGGGCTTTTTTCCTAGCTTAAAAATGGTTACGGCTCAAATTAAGTTTTTCCAAGGACTTAATTTTTTTTTAACCCATGCAGATCTCTTCCAAAGGAAAGACCCATTTCATTGACCATTTAATCTTTATACACAATCTAGTTACGATGCTCAGCGTCCTCCTCCTTGCCCCGTGTGCTGTGAGACATGTGGGACGCACAGAGGGTCCTGGGAACCCGGCGATGCTTGGCTGGGAATCCAACCCAACCCACGCAGAGCAGATCTTCAGCACGGAGACCTCAGGCTGGTAATCCGGACCAACAAGTGCCTGGCTCTGTCTGACGTGAGGAGTGTAAAGTGCAGAATTAAATGAGGCTTCTTGCTATTCTATAGGCACCTGGAGTGCAGTGATGGAATTTCAAGTAACCTGTAAGTAGCCAGAAAGGACACTTCTAACACAAGGCATAGCCTTCTTCTAGAAACATGTTTTTATTACTACCTCATGTGAAATGAGGTGTAGAAGAAAAATGCGTGATGATGACTGTTACTTTGCCACCTCTGCAGAAGTAGAGTTGTTTTTGTACCTCGACCTCCTGGAAAGTCAATCGGTATTGTAGTAGGGACTGTTTTTAAGCACCTTCTAGGAGTATATTAACTAATTGTATAATCTAATCCTTAGCTCCATACATATATATGTGTGTATAGCCACTAATGCTGTTGTCCTTCACTGGAAGGATATCAATAACCTCTTCTGTAAGAGGGTTATTTTAGTAACAGAAGTATAAGACACTGTTTTAAATAGTAAGTGTTCAACAAATAGGCATTTGAACTTCCTACTTGATCCATAATCAATGGATTAGATTGCCTACCTCTCACATACCCAGCAGTTTTGAAGAGTTAGGCACTTTTGATTAAGCATCTGTGGATTTGTTGTCTGTGTTAAGTTCCCACCATTGCTTACAGCTTTTTGAGAATGTTCCTTGTGAGCTCTTAATGGCAGTGATAAGTCGGCATCTCTGAGCACATACACAGAAAAGGGGCATAAATATACATAGAGCAAGAACTTTATCTGTCACTTTCTGTCCCTGCATCAGTGGTAATAACTGTAAAGGTGTGTAGATAACATGCTTCTCTGCTTGGTTTTGATTAAGTGCATGTAAAATAAGGATGCTCACATGTTCGTTGTACCTATGAAATGTCCCTAGAAAATGACCTCTATTTTCCTAGTGGGGAATTTTGCATTAATATGGTTTTCTCAAAGAGTTTGCTGTCATCTGAAATAGAAATGGGAGCAATTTCACTCTCTCTGTGAAACTCAGGAAGTTACAAAGTTTACAAAGATAATATCTGTGGGCCTGAACCAAAATCCATTGAAATTAACAGGAATATTACAGCAGTGTTCTTGGCCTTTCATAAAAATGGTTGCTGCTTCTCTTTTTTTGTCTGATTTTTAAATCTACCGAAGCAAGACCTCTGCCCATAATTTGTGCCAATAAATGTAGTGATTAGTATACTAATATTCTGGTTTTGGCTTTCCTTTTTTTTCCCTAAAGAAGCAAGGCGGGGGAGTAATACATTTTCTGTTCATATTTGGTTTCCATCAAAAATACATGCATCTTCCAGTCTGAACTGTTCTTTGCCCATTAAGCTAGAACCAGACCAGAACTATTCGTAGCACTTTTGTTGAATTCAAACTGGAGTTGAACAACTTCCTCTGTAGGCAAACCCAAATTAGAAATAAACCAAAGCATCTGCTCTGATTGCCTATTTCCAAGCAGGAATATCTCAGCCCTTTTGAAAATGTACCTAAATGTCTTTCTTCAACTACCTCTTTTGAAGTCAGCTGAGAGCTTAAGAGTTTTATATATACGCATATATATATATATATATATATATACATACATAAAGAAACAGAAGCATTTATCCCAATATAGACTAATCACAGACACTTTAAACAACTTTTTGGTCCTTCCACATGGCTCTGGTATTCTCGTATTCATGGCCTGTCAATGACAAAGCTGTCCCAGAAATGGTGGTTTGGATGATACTTTGATTTACCTTTTCTGTAAAATGATGTTATGACAACACTGGATTTTGCATAAACACCACTTTTATTCACCGTATTTCATAATCTTTATTTTGCAATAGTTAGTTTAATCTACGACTGCTGATTACATACCAATAAATACGTATAGAATGACTAAGCATTACAATGAAACCTACAGTGCTCTGGGGTGAGGAGAATATTTCAAAGGAAACAATTTACCACACGTTTTGTAAGGTTTCCAGTGAGATGAGGAAATAGCTGCTTTTGTTTTTAAGATCTTGTCAGTGTTTTGTAAATATTTTCGACGTTTATGGCTCTACATATGGTTTTGATTATAACACATAGGCAACTCGAGTATTGGGTCATGTGCTGTTTAGGAGGAGATTATTTCATTGATGTTCTTTCTCAACATTCCTGCTTTTTTTGCACCTACTGCAATTTTTTAAGCAAAAAATATATACAGTATGCAATAGCAGCAAAGCTAGAGCTCTGCCAGAGGACTAACGCAGCTTGAGCCCTGCTCTCCAAGGCTCTCCGTTTGCTGGTGCAGCGTTTCCACCGCAGAGGTGAGCAAACACAGCAGCAGAAAGCTTGTGTCACCTGCTGAAGGTTATGCGGGCTATGTATGTGGTGCGTAGGTAGGTGTATATGTTAAATACTCCTGTATTCTTAGGGCTTCTTTTGAAGGTGGTTTCAAAGATGCCTACCATGATCCCAGGTCGCTGGATGGAGACCCAGCTTCATGCCTCCCCTGCCTGGCTGGTCCTAGTGTTTAAAAGCTCCCGTGGGGCAGTTACTCACCTGCTAGAAATGAGAGCAAGATGAAACACAGCTACGTTTCACAAAGGATTTAGTACAGCCTTCAGATGACTTTAGGTTATTAAATGAGCTTCTGGTTATTACCAGCACTAGTCACTGTGCAAACAGTGTGCTAAAAGTGAAGGGAGTTGTGGGTTATTGCCAATTTCCTGAGCTATTAAGTTCCTCTATTTACCTCAAAATACAAGGACAGGGAGAGGTTATCGGCCCCATAATAATTTCAAAGGACTGTATAGATATGAATCCAGTGTTAATTTTAGCTTTTCCAGATGTGGAAAACTGAAATGAGAGAGGGGAATGACTTTCTTCTAATTTATTCTTTTATCCTTTGACCCTTTTATTCAGCTAAATAAATATTTTGAAACAGCCTTTTTTTTTTTTTTTTTTTTTTTTCCGCCCCTGCCATTTTTCCAAATCATTTTTTTTTCTCCACCAGGAAAAAATATCACCGTGCAAGGTTGCAGTAGCTCACAGGCACTGGGCTTATCTCCTGCTGAGGAGCTCTGCAAGGCTATCTTTGTGCGCCTTTTGCAAACAGCCCCTTAAACTGCTAGCGGAGGTGAAAAATCTTCCATGATCCCTTCTGTGCCAGCAGTTCCTGCACTATGCAGATGACCTCGCGAGGAACTCTCTCTTGTATTGCAAAGAACGATGAGCTCACGAAGAATTACTGTGCTCCTCTAAAAGTCAGCTTTTAAGTGGAAAAGTTATTTCTTTGTTTGCTTTTTTTAGGGCTGTTATTACTCTTAACCGGTCATGGACTGATGCCTGAAGCTGAATTACAGGCATGTGTACTGGCTTCTATTTTTTTTCCCTTTTATCACGGGTCGTTGCTGTTTCCTGTTCCACTCGGGCGCGTTTCCCCGCTCCCGGCCGCTGCGCCGTCGC